TTATACAGTTTAAAGTACTTTTTCAGAAAATGGAGTTACATTAAGTAAAAAAAAAAAACCTTACTGTTGTTTCTTTGGAATACTAACTAGCTGCCTGCAAAAATAATCCAAAATAATCTCAGTTTCAAAAGAGTTTGCTTATAGGTGACATTTCTATAATACGAAGTTTAAAGTTCTTTATATTATTATAGAACTTGTTTTAAAAATTTTTAGTAAAGAGTTACAAATTTATATTAAAAAATAAAGAAATCTGTATACTTTCTGAATATATGAAAAGATAAAATAATTTATTACATTTTAATATTTGCCTTTCGTTGCTTTTTGTTACTTTTATAATATATATAATAAAATAAACATCTATATCAGAATTTTTTATATTATTATATTATTTGTAATTTTATTAGTTCCTTATATATTCTCTATATGTTGAAATTCTCTTTTTTTGTCAATCACCTTCTTGTTGTGAATTGTACAACTATAATTGCTATAATTAAAATATATTTAATTGTTTTATTATTAGATAGCTTTTTTGTCAATCATACTTATTATAGAAATAATAATCAATTTTTTCAACCAATTAAAAGAAAGTCTTCCTATGAGTATCAAATAGTATTACAAACTATTCAAATTTTATCCACTCCTATTCCTTTCATTTACTTCTCAAATGTTTGAAGTTTCACTAATACCGCCAAACAATACATACTTATTGAATACTATCTCTCATTAAATATAAATGCCATTGACATACAAGAAACTAATTTTCTCCAACAACATATTCGACCCTTCAATAAAGAATATACATCTAATTTTGTGGGTTTTTTCAGCTCTGATCCAACGTCTAATAAAACAGGTTTTGGTATAGATATCTTATTATGTCTATTACTGGCCAATCATATTTTTTATTATAGACAATTGCTAAATAGAATTATCTATGTCAACCTTCAATTCACCAACAAACAAAAATTATACTTCATCAACTGCTACTTACCCTCATCTGATATTTCAAAAAGAAAGAACATACAAAAAGAATTAACTAAAATCATCAATGATGCTATCTCTAAGAACTTTCACATTGTTATAACAGGTGACTTCAACGCTAATATAGATAGAAATAAAAATCCAATAGATGCAAAAGAATTTTTTATGATGCTTCAAAATTTCATTTATTTGATGCATGCACCTTAAAATATAATAATGATTGTGTTAATTATCCTTCTTTTAAATTAACAATATCAACCTCTCGTATTGGTTTTGTTTGGACCTCTTCAGAGCTTGTATATAACTTTAATACTTGTAAAACCGTATCAGTAATACAACAAATATCTGATCATTCAATTGTGATTTGTTCAGTGAAAAACTACCTTAAAGTAAAAAATAATAAACATAATATCTCCAAAAAGACTATATATGACTACGACAAAATGAATAAAAAGCTCTAGATTGAATACAAAAACAAAATGGACACCTTTACCAATAGTTGTAAATTGCGTCTTTAAAGTTCAACATAAAGCTTAATCAAACTAATTCAATTTTTACTGAAACTTATTTTAAGCCTATATCATCAAAGCTGCCAATAACACAATTCTGTTACACAATTCAACTGGATAGCATAAGTTGAAGAAGTCCAAAAATTTGAGATTCTTATATAAATTTACTAAAAAACTCAAGACTGTATGCCATTCAGATGAGTTACCCAAGAATTGGCTAACAATTTACATCAAATTTCATGAAATAACCAACGATTTTGAATACTATCTAATATCGTTGTCACCTTCACTGCTAACTGTGTTTCTTCAATCTTTATTACCATATGTGAAACTATTACTTAATTGTCTTTTAGTCATAACCAAAGTTCATGAGCATAAATTTAAAATCAAGTCAATTCAGCAAGTGATTAAGAATAGGCTGGAGAACTATGTTGCATCTCCATCTCGTATGATTGACTCAATCCTCAATTATTCAAAAAAAACAATAGTGTTAGTTAGATATCATAATCATTTGTCAGAATTACATGATCTTCTGACAGATAAAATGCCCATTAAAAACAAGGTTAATCAACATTTTCAATTGGCAGCTGGCATCTCACATGAAAATATGGATATCCTGAATAACTGGATTCCCTTCTATAAACCATTGAACAATTTCAATGGATCTATATATGATGGACTTATGACTCTGCTCACAGCTGAAGAATGGTATGACATTCTCGCAACTCTGTCTAACAGTAAAGTTTCTAGACTATCTAAAGTGTCAAATAAATGCTAAAACATCTTAGTCCTCATGTAAATAAATTGCTTTGGTATATTATTCATCATTGTTTGTCTGAATCCACTCTTTCACACTGTTGAAACAGTGCATTCATCTATCTAATACCAAAACCTAAACTATAGAAATACAACCTGAATAACATTAGACTGATTACACTTTTAGATTATCCTCAGAAAGCATTTATAAAATTACTTAATCAGAGACTTTCAACTATTATAATCTAAAATAATGTGCTTAAAGGACTCAACTTCGCCAGACTTTCATATAAATTAACATTTGAACTACTTCATATTGTAGATAATATTAAATATGACTCTATCACAAACAATAAAGATCTTTAGATTTTTTACAAGATATGTCTAAAGTTTATAATTGAATAAACTTGTTTATACTTATAAGAGCAATTGAATAGCTTAATACACCTTTCAATTTCATTAGATTCATCCTCAAAATGTTCAGAAATTGATTCAATCAGGTTTTTACTTTCTCTGGAAATACTTATCTATACAGAGTTGTTTCTGAAATTGATCAAGGAGAAATTATCTCTTCTCTTCTTTGCTTAGAATCACATTGGTCAAATTTTTGGTGCAGTAGGGACTAAGCCTTTTCCTTTCTCTAGTTGGTTTACTAGAAGATAATGATCCTGTACTTTTCCAGAATCAGATATAAAAAAAAAAAAATTTATATCAGTTTTGATTTAGGATATATTTTTATTATTTTAAATAGAGACATTTGTAACTTCTGTTTTATGTAATTTTTTATTATTATATTATCAATAAAGATTTTGCAAAATTACCGCACTTTAAAAAAAAAATTTCTTAATTAAATATAAAAATACTTCAGATAAAGTTAAGCCTTAAGTTTTATAAACTGTAAGAGTAAAAGCAATCTGTAAGAAAAATTGATACCTATTTGATAGTTTTTTATCTATCAGAAATATGTTTGTTTTTTTTTAATTCCAATATCAACAATCTTATCTATTATACTAAAAGTAATTCTTACTTGCAAAGGTTTTAAATTAATATCTAAATAGTATAAATATATAGAAATTAAGTTTCATATTTAGATCTTTACTTTACATTAAAAAAGAAAAAATTAAAAATTACTTATCATGTTTTAATGATTATTATATTGAAAATACTCATAATTGAATAAGAGTAAATACCTTTTTGAATACAACAATTGAAAACATTATAAAATAAGCTTATATTATTGGTATTATTGATATTGATATGATATATTATGTTTTATAATTAATAATCTAAAATAGCTGATTATAATCTTATTTTTAAGAATACATATTATAAAATCTACTATTATTCATACAATTCATCTACACTTAATTTTTTTAAATAAAATCAGTCTTTTTTATCGAAATACTTTTGTGATATATTCTATAACCAAAATAATAACATTCTAAAATATAGTAATAAAAGAAAAAAAAACTAAAAGAATAATAATTAGCTACTTTAAAAAAAAAGAAGTAGATTTATATCATTTATCAACAACATACATATACCACAATTAAAATTGTATGATAAATGTGAATTTCAAATGAATGATGATAATGTAATGCTTACTTATAACTATAATTACTATTCAGCTTACTTAATAGAAAATGTATTTATTGTGAAATTTTTATAAGAATAGTATTTTTGAAAATTTATATGTGTTTTTAAAAAGGATTATTTAGGATAATATAGATGATGAAATCAATGAAAAAGAAGAGAAAGAATCAGAGATGAAAAATAATAGATAGATATATCTATTACATTAAAATTAATAATTAATAATATAAATTATTAGTAATTGAAAATTAATATTGTAAATGAAATTAATTTTTTTTGTTAATAAATAATAATAATAATAATAAAATAATATAATAAGAAGTTACTTTTAAATAACCATTAATTTAATTAAACTTTATACAGTAACGTTCAAAGTATTGCATCATCTAAACACAAATTTTAAAATGGTGATATCTCATGATTAAAAAGTCGCAGTGTTATACAACTTTAATTAACAAGATCGTTATATTTCATAATTTATCAATCTATTTCATTTCTTTTTTAATGGTTAAAAATATTTTTTTTTTGTTATGAATATACTTGGCATGGTAATTATCTTAATTAAGTATATATGTAATACGTAATTATGGTAATTAATTAGCATTTTTTTAAAAAAAACATAATTGCAAAATTAATTACAGGTAATAATTAATTACAGGTGATGTAATTATTACAGGGATAGTAATTAATACTTATAGACGTAATTAATTACATAGATAATAATTAATTATGAAGTGGTAATTAATACTTGTAGATATAATTAATTACGGGAATGGTAATTAATTACAGATGACTTAATTAATTATGAGGAATATAAATTTTTTAGTATATAAGTGTATAAAAAGAATTCTGTAGCATTGTTAACATCATTTTTAGTTTTAATTTAAGTTCTAATTCGCTTTGTATAATCATTATATATAAAGATGCATAATTTTCTTTTATGGTATTCGTCACATAATATGTGATTAATATCGAGATATACATTAAATTTAATTTATTTAAATATTGGAATAGAATTAAATTAATATAAGAAGATTAACTTTCTCCCCTATTTTACAAAACCTAAATTTTCATATGAAAAATAAAAAGTTAAAAGTTCGTTTTTAATAAAAAATTAATTAATAAACCCAGTATAAAGAAGGTTTCTTTTTTTTACCCACCTTCTTACTTACGCGAGAGAGTTATGACATATAAAAATGCCATGAAATAAAAAACTAGTAATCCTAAGTTCATTTCATACGTTGCTCTAAAAGCTCTAAAGAAAGCTGCTATTTCTACTCCAGTTCCTTCATCTTTTTCAACCTCAACTTCTGTTCCCACTAACCTTGATTTAGAAATTGTCCAAGAAGTTTTTGGCTCATTATCAGAAAAAACTATGGAATTTGAATTTTTTGACGTTTCCAAAATTGCTATTCCTAACAAAACTTCACCAGATATTCCACTCTTGAATAATAACAATAATAATAACAACAAAGTTGGCGATATCCCTGAAACTCTTCTTCAACCAAAGATAGGTCAAAATTTTTGGATCCTGACAAATATCTTGAAGACGATAATATAGATGAAGATTTGAAAGATTTTACCATTGTTACCAAAGCTACTCCCTTTGCAGTTGCTAGTAATATCAAGTTTACACCCAAAGAAAAGAATAACAGCAAAATTATTCTTGCTATCAATAACATTTTTGCTCAAAATGACAATTTTAAAGGAGTTTCAATTCGTCACATCAATTTGACGCGTTCAGTAATCATTTACTTTGTGATATCAGACGCAGCTGCCACAGCTTTACACGTGTCCATTCCTGATCTTAAGATCAACACTTTCTGTGATTTCTCTCAATACAAAGCTGATATGCATTTTAACGAAAAGATTATTCATGTTACCGATATTCCTTTACAGATAAAGCCTGCTAATATCAAATAAGTTTTTGCCAAATATGAAACAGTTACCGATTTTAAAATGACAGTAAGAGGTAGGATTTCTCAAGATCAAATCAAATCAAATATTTAAGCAATTTGAATTTGATTTGATTTTTTCAAATCAAATCGAATCTAATCGAATTGA